CGTTAAGTAAAGTGTAAAATTATGTCGATAGATAGTGGAATTTCCTACTTTACCGGGAACTCTGGTTGATCCCGCCCCTCTATCTCGGTACGCAAAAGTCTCCGGCTAATGAGACTAATATAATATAAAATACCACCAATCGATTAAGCAGAGTTTTTCCTTTGAGTATATGTATAACATGTTGACTGAAACGGTTTGGCAGCCGAGATATTCAATTTAGTCGCGGTTTTGTCAATTTTTGCCCACTGTGCACTGTATTAATGATTCACTTTGATGTGATATTAAAATTATTTTTTGTTGTGCGATTTAAAAAAAAAACCATATTGATGGGTAAACAAACCATCCGACAATGCTAAATTTGATATCCACAGATCGATGATCGATCGCACAGATCGATGATCGATCGCACAGATCGATGCGCATACGCTTAAATCAACGAAACTCATAAAAACTGCGCGAATTTGAATCGAACAGCTTCGCTTCAATGCAAAAGTTAGTTCATTTGACAATGAAAGAATAAATGAACACGTCAAGCCAAAACAAACAGCATGAAAACTGATCGAAAGTGGTTCTCTTGATGTTGACGGGGATCTGCTCGAAGAGAAGACAGAATGACTTTCAATTGAAAGTGATGGTTTACAGCTTCATCGTCACATGACGATTTTCGATTGAAAGTGATTTTATGGGGCCCTGGTAAAGTTCTTATATTTTACTTAAAGTTACCTAGAGAACCATCCAGTTCTGCTCTGAAATAAAAGGAACATTCCTAAAAATCTTTGAACTTCCCTGGAAATCCCTAACCTTCTTTGAAATTCACAAAATAAGAGTTTTGTAAAATTTTCAATACTCAATCACTTTATCAATTTTCAATAGGTCACTATTGAAAATTACACAAATGTTCAACTGTTGCAATGGTGATTAAAATTATCACCGATTACCTGCAAAAAAGCGCTTTCCCTAACACAGATTTCAAAATCGAATTCCCTCCGGTCTCGCCGAACGGTGCGCTTATTCAATCACCGTGTTTGGTGGTGTCCGGCTGGTCGTCATCATCATGAGCAGCAGCAGTGCTTTCGGCGCGTGGCGTTGAACATTGCTCTCCAGTACACAACGCAAGGCTGCCCGCAAGCAGCGATCTGCAAACCACATGAGCGTCCATTCACCGAAGAAGGATGAAGAAGCCGCACCGCTACTGATCGGATTCAGTTGCTCGTCATGAGCCACTGCGGACCATCTATGCCAAACGCGTTACCCTCATTCCAAACAACATACAGCTCACCAGCATCATCCGTGTTGAACACCCTAATAGCTCAGCATTATTAAACCATCACGGCAAAACGGTTCTTTTCAGGACCACCATAAATTATTGTTTTTGAACAGTTAATTTTCATTGAGCATTCGCTCGCCTTGTTGCCAGCCACATCACCCCCAAAGCTCTTTGATAATGTACCCAGCAACCAAACGTTTGTGGTCAAATGCGTAACAGTATTGAAGTGGTATATACAAATTCTCGCAATGACCGAATACCACATGACCATTAGACTGAGGCAAAATTTGAAATTCTTGCTCAACAGTGTTCAAACGGTTCCAATTTGAAGTCATTTAGTAAGAAAATGGCTTGGCACAAATCAGTTGAAGTTTATATGAAAATTACTATGGGAAAACCAAATTCTGTTTTCATATCTATCTAATAATTTACTCTATTACTCTGCTGTAAAAATTGATAGCTGTAGTTGTAGTTAGTTTTCACAGCTACAACTTTGTTCAAAACCATTTTTCGATAAAATGTAAGGATCAAAAGTTAATAATCATTACGTCACTACCCAAGTAACCAAAAGTTCTGATAAAAGGCTATTTATGGGTTTAGCACCTTGGTTGAAGGTGGTCTATAGTGGTTCCGGCACCATATTTGAAGAGCATTCCAAGCAGTCTCTGGCGGAACTTGAACGGAACTTTTAGAAAACAAATTTAAAAAGGTTTTTGTCCTCTACACCAATTCTATATTTAGTTCGCACTTTTATGAAAGTTATTTCTAAAGGCAGGTATTAATGTGCATTGATTTATCAGCATTAGTAGTAGTAATGGAGCTGTTTGAAGAATTAAACCCAGTCCTTCTGCGTGAGAGTCTCAGCACGAACCACTACGTCATCTGAAATATATTAAAGTGAGCTGTTGTCCCGCTTATTGTTGGTGTTTTCTGAGCCAGCTGACTAACTTGAATACGAAACACAACACCTTGATGAATTTAAATTGGTGTTTGCCCGCATGGTATTCCATCACACTTGTGGCGCAGTGGTTAGTGATCGTAGATCACATGCCGAATACACGGGTTCGAATCCAGGAAATTACTTTTTAATTTTTTTTTTATAGAATGTTGCATAAATATAAGAATTATGATTTATTCGGGCCACTGATTATTTCATATTTACGTACATTAAATTTTGTTACAAAAAAAGATTTGTGCGGATTGCTTCATGTGGCTTGAAAGTTCTGTCGGAACTTTATTTGAACTTTATGGAACTTGAAAGTTCTGTCGGAACTTTATTTGAACTTTATGTAACTTGAAAGTTCTGTCAGAACTTTATTCGAACTTTATGGAACTTGAATGTCCTGTCGGAACTTTATTTGAACTTTATGGAACTTGGAAGTGTTGAATGTGGAACTTTTGGTTACTTGGGTATTTTCTTATGATTATACTCAATCAACTGCTCAGCAGGCAACATTGGTGTTTCTGGCGCGTAGAATAGAGCTAAAACATCATGGCTACTATGTCACACTGCAGAATACAGTGTTGCCCAAAGTGGCCTGGGATCAAACAGTTGCTTGATGATGCCATAAGATTATTAATCTCTTAAACAATTAATAACTATTTAATTTAATGTTTGGCTGAAAAACAATATTGCGCAATGTTGTAGCTGAAAAAATTTCCTATAAGAATAGCCATAGAAATTTTTAACGGTGCAATATGGAAGAAGTATAGAAGACTACGAAGAAAAAGTTTGGTTTCCCTATAGTAATTCCAATATAAACTTCGAATGGTTTGTGCCCAGTCAGTTTCTAACCAAATCAGTTCAAACCTTGGGAGACTAATCTAGACCCGATTTGGAACCGCTTGAGCACTGTGGAGCGAAAATGTCAAATTTTGCATCAGTCTAATGACCATGTCGTCTTCTTCTTATTCGCATTTCAACTTTATTCCTTAGCGCATATTAGCTTATTGTGTGCTCTCAACTTAGTGTTCTAAATGCACTTCCACAGTTATTAATTTAGAGCTTTCGATGCCAATACCAATGCATGAATTTGTATATTGTATGGCAAGCACAATGATACTCTATGCCCAGGGAAGTCGAGAAAATTTCCAACCCGAAAGATTCCCTCGACCGGACCGGGGATCGAACCCGCCGCCTCCGGCTACATGACCATGACCTTGTCGATTAACTAGAAACCCTTCAAACTAAAGTAAGGTTTTCACCAGGACGCTAGAAAAGCAAACAAATCTTGAATTTATATGATTGGTCGCACAGCAAAAAAAATATTTTGATATCACATCAAAGTGGATGCACTTCAATCGTTCAATGGTGTGTTATAATGCAGTTCTTCTAATGCAACAACCACCCTACTGCTTTCTCTCTGAGATGATCACGTTGGTCATGACGAGAGGAGCAACACAATAGTTGGGTAAAGAAGAACTGCATTATAACACACCATCGACTAGAAATGCTCTCGCAACGTGGGGCTTTAGGTAGTGATGAAAACATCGCTAGAACTATTCCACAGCCGCAGTCAGTTTATGAGCAAAAAGAGGGACGCACATTTTTGCCTGTGGACTTGGAGACATACTTCAAGTCCCCGCGTACATCGTACGGGTTAGGCAAAAATGTGCGTCTATCTTGAAAAACTGTCGCATTAATGGCCCTTCGCTCATTTTCAACTTCTATTCAATTTTCATACTGCCGTACTCTAACGGAACTATCTACATACCCTCTACTAAAGATCATTCTCTAGCTAATAAATCATCACACTAAAGCTTCATGTTAGCATTTCCAACCAACTCTTCTGAATTCAATTTTTTTTTTTTTTTTACATTTTCATCGGAATTCTCAGAAGAAACCCTTTGAAAAAATTCACAGAATTCATTTCAAAATCCTCTTTGCAACTCACTCCTTCCCTTGTAATTCTACTCACATTGAAAGTTTCATGAGAATTAATTTGCAGTTCTCCTGAAAATATGTTTGGCAAACTCTCCTGCTATTATTTTCGGATTTCCTTGAAAGTTCTTCTGGAATTATTCACCGATTTAATTGAAATCGTCCATTTAGTATTCTCCTAAAGTTCCCAAGGAATTATGCTCTAGATTCATTTTTCTCAGATTGTTCTTGGATTTTTTCGTAGGTGTTCCCAGAAGTTCTACTCAGAATTATCATGGAATAATCCTCAGAGATGTTAATGAGTCTTCATTAATATGCACTTTGATTCCAATTCAGCATTTTCTTGTAATTCTACTCAAAATTATCTAAGGTTTCACATGAAACCTGTAATTCTTCAGAACTATCTTAAAAGCAGATTGCACTTGTGTTTTTCTCATAGATTTTTCCCCAATTACCTTGGAATTATAATTAAATACGCTATGGAAATAATTCGACCGTTTAATTTTTGTGGAAATAAACGATACAATATTTTTGAATGAATAATGTCATCTAAATTAGGTCCTGAATCACAAATATATTTTTCTGCGCGATATCATTACTCTTCTGTATTAAAATGAGTTTCTTGTAATCAAATTAGTCTATTTTGTTAGTACTGTTAATGTAGACATGAACACAGATTCTGATCTTTATTTTTAAAACAAATCGTCAATTTTCAAGAAAACCTTAAATTTCTGAACATCAACGAATGTAGCTTCGAATCACCACTTCCAGATCTCCAGACCTTTCAACTGGCTTCCGATGGACGTCCCCAAAATAATCTCCCCTTCTAATCCAGCATTAATTCACATTCAGCTCCGAAAATGTCCTTCCTGCGCAACATTCGTAACAATCTGACCAACAGCGGCCATCGGAGTGGAAAATCCACCAAACCTGCACCGGTAGCAGCGCCAGCCCGAAGTATCATCAGTGAACGGAACAACAACCGCAGCGGAAACGAATCCGAACGATACGGCTATGACACGTACGGTTCGCGCAGGGATAGCGGCACCAGCCGACGGGGCAGCAATTCGACGACGCTGAAGCGGGATTCAAAGTACGGCAAAGAGTCTCCGGCACCGATCATCGTCTACGTGGACAAGTATGAGAAGGTAAAGAAGCCCGCCGGAATCCTAAGGAAGAATACATTCACCAAGGGTGACCGAGAAGATAGCGGGCGGTTCGGGAATGCGATCAGTCGCAGCGACACGTTCACCATCAATGAGCTGGAGGATGAGAAGGCGAGGACCAGTACTTATACGAAAAAGAAGAATAAGGGTGAGTTTTTAAGCTTTTTTTCAGTTGAGTTTAGGTTTTTAGAGATAACCAAATGCTTATCAACAGATAAATCTCCGGAATCCACTGTATCCAAGAACATGGAGCACGAATCTCAGGAGAACATCCCTGTAGTGGTTGATACTCGTACGTTTCGGAAGAAATCGTTGAAATCGTCCAAGCCTGTACAGAAGGTGGAAAGTTTCATGAAAAGGGTCGAAAAGAGTCTATTCAAACAGGACTCCAAGAAGAATGTCCGAAAGGATTCCAACTCTTCGGTCGGTGCGTATGTCCCGCAGTTTCGAGACATTGGCATCAACTGCAAGCTGGACGAAGAGGACAAACAAAAGACTAGAAAGAAACGTACCGGGTCACGGGATTCGCTGTTGGAAACAGCTAATCTAGAGCACAGTTCATCGTCACAAAGAAGTTACCGAGAAAGAAGTTCAACGCCCCTGCAGCATAAGAATCGGGCGAGAAGTGCTTCTCCCACGAAGAGGTATGCTACGTATGATCGTAAAGAGAATATCAACAGTCGTGATGAGCCACCTGCTATACCGGAAAGACTTCGCAGAGGTCATGAGCGTAGTTCATCGCCGTTCGAAACCTTAGAATTGAAATCCAAGTCGGCAAACAACAGTTATCTAAAGGCTCGTCAGAAAGAAATCGAAATGGGCTACAGCACCGTGAACAAGAAAGCTCAAAATCGTAGTCCCGATCAAAACAAATCCATTCTTGTCAATACGACTCGTACCGATCGATACGATCCGGATCATGGTCGAAGCTACACTGTTACAACTAGCACTCACCGTGTCGAGTTTGACCGGCCACCTCAGTTCCGGTCCGATACCTACAACACTCTTAAGGAAGAATACGAACAAGTGAATCGCAAACCCGTTGGCATAGCCAGTCCACGGCTGAGCACGGATCGGCCAGCCAAACATGAAACGCAACAGTCTCCACCCAAACCACCTCGGAAGGATTCAACTGAGCTACCGAAGTACACCTTCGGTACCAACCTTCAAGAGCGACGAAGTCGCTTCCAGCAGTTCCAAAAGTCGTTCAAGAAAATGGATGACGAGAGCAGCGTGGTGACCGTCCAGCAGAGCTTCTTCGTACCAATCTAAAACTCTCGATTTGAAACTAACTAACCGGTCGGCCCCGGAACGACAAAGACTTGCTAATGTATGCGCTTTCTTCTTGTAGGATTCGAGTACTAATTAAGCTACTAGCGAAAAAAGAATAAAAATTTACGATGCTCCCCGCAGGAGAGAGTTCAGTTTGATTCGAAACTCCCAATCAGGTGATGTCATACATCGGAACGACTTCCAGTCGTTGATCCAGTTTCCCTATATGGAACCAACGCTAATTCAAGATCAATTCCCACATGCGGAATGACGACATCGGTAAAACGATGACGAAGCATTCGGCCGAATGAAGTTTTGCTCCGTTTTTGGTTTAGCAGTGCGTGGGAGATTGTTCGCTGTAGACTAAATACATGCGCGCAATGACTGCGGATCGATTGAGGGATTGGGTTTCTTTCGGTCTGAGTCCACGACCGAGTATGGAAAGGGCAGCTTTTCCGGTCATTGAAATGTGTGACATCGCACTAATTGAGCTAGCTTTGACGGGGGGTTAACTGACGGATTCAGAAGTTGAAATGGCTAATTCTTTGCCTTGCTCGGATATTGAACAGATTGAGCTAAATTACATCTACTTACTGGCTTATTATGAGCCTGCTTTAACATACTATTTTGTTTTTTTTTTTAATTAGAGTTGTTTTGAGCTTTTGCATAATCATTTATAAGCAACTATATTGTGGCTACAGACTGGTTCGGTAGGTTACCTATTTCTAACTTGAATCAACACATTTCATAGGTACTGCATGGTCACATAATAATTCAAAAACAAGATCAATAATTGTCACATTGGCCACACCCGGGCATGTTTAGGGTGTTCCCAGCGTGTTCTTAAACCATAGCAAAAGAGCTCACAGTAAATAAAGGCCTAATGTCACTGGCATAACAAATCCAAGCATCACTCGTTGGCATGTGGACATATAAAAAAGTGGGGCAGCTTAGCCACCTTAAGAAAATCATCACGAATGATACCAAATTCAGAGGAAAGTTCAAATGATTAGTATCCAAATTGATAGTTCTAAGCCCTATTTACATCATCAATACAAATAGAATATTAAAAGTAAACTTTTAAATCTTTTGGAAGAAGATTTTTAAAATGTTTGTTTTGTAGCCGAAGCTTCCGTTGGAGTTAAATGAGCACCCAATCGGGATGGTCTAAGTACGCTAGTAAACCACCGGTAAGTATTTTATGGTTTCATGAGGATTTAAGAAGGGTCAACAATGAACAGTTTTAGCATTTTTTTTTTGTAATAAATCTATTTGTACAGGCTCAAACGAATAAACTTTACAGAGCCAAATTATCATTTCCGTTATACATTATTAAATCGCTTATTATCTTCGATGGAGCTTACCGCTATAAGCCTCATACAAAAGGAAAGAAGGCGCTGATTGAATCTACACAAAACAAAAAAACTGAATTTTAATGATCGCGTAAAAACTCCCTTGATAATTTTGAGCTTAAGTTAGCTTAAAGAAGGCGATATGATTCGATCTTCAATTCAGGAAAAATGCTCCTAAGACATTATGACCACGTGCCATTGCATTGACCTAATAAAATTTGTATGGTTATTTTGCTTAACGACGTGTTCGGGGTGTCATCCAAACCATTTGTGGAAAAGTTCTATGATTTGGGAAATCGTTCGTTAATGGTGTATTTTTATGAAGGCAAGATTAGTGACCCGATTGATACCAAGGAATCCTTTTTCCATTCAATTTTATCACGTCCGGTTGTATTGGTGCGATACGTAAGAGAGTGTTAGTGAATATCCGAGGAAAATACATAACAAATCGATGTCAAACTCATTTTGACAGATCTACTTTCATTACATTTTTTAGGTTAGCCAGAGGAAAATAATATACAACTTCACACGGCGTTGCCTCCGCTAGTGTACGTCCGTTAAACGTCACTAATCTCTATTTGCATTACCATTAATCCCCGCTAATCTGAACGACACTTCATTCATATTGGCATATCAAAGTTGGCTCCAGACCAGTGGCAGGCGCGTAGGCAACATGTTATACAGTGACAGCGGGCCCAGCACAGCAAAATAAATTATTTGAGCCCGAGACATGCTGCCTACTGTCAAACGCTGCTGTTGGTATAGGCCTTGTCACTGGCCTGGTTGGCTCCCTTGGAGAATTTACTTCTTGCCGCAAGATTTCACCAATACAACGTTGCTAGTGTAGCCGTGCAAAATCGATTTGTTTATTATTTTCAACCACGAAATCAGCTGTCAAAATGTTCGACTTGACAACGGTTTGTTTTTTATTTTCAACCAGTAAAACGCTGGTAGAGAACCCTTACAGATTAACTTCACTAATAAAAATTCAATGATTATTTTTATGTGTCCTACACATGAATTTTTGCAATGTGATAAACAAATGATATATATGTATCGGACACATGTACACATAAAATTCATTCATACATATTCATGAGTGGATTCTGTTTATGTGTGGATACATGAAAATCTTGTGGAATTTTACATGGAAATTCGCCAATAAAAATGTGTCAAATTTAATTAGTGTATCATTTTCCAGATTTAATTAAAATATTTTGTTCTTAAAATAAATACATTTTAAGATTGCACTTGTATACCTCACCGTGCAAAATTTTATAATCATCATCACGTTCATTGTTTTTTTTGCACTATTTTCCACGGGGCCAACTTTGATTTTCTAATTAACGAGGTTGGTACAAGGGGTAAGTCACTCAGCACATTGTGCCGAAATTAGATTCGGCACAACTTGGGCACAATCTCGTAGGTATTGGATTGTGGTAAATAAAATAGGAGCACTTCTGGACAACTGTCATTGAAGTTGTTCACAATATTATGTGGTGTTCCTCATGGTACATCCTTCAATTGAATATACCACAGGAACTCAACACAGCAGTTCACTTCTCGGTTCACTTATAGATCTAAATACGAAATGGTGGTTCTAGAGTGGGCTTAATAGAAAGAGGCAGTTAATCAGACCCCATTAGCACCCTCAATTCAAATAATGCTGCAACTCACACAAAACAAACTAAAGACGAGAGGGGCAACACAATAGTTGGGTAAACAAGAATAGCATTATAACACACCATCGACTGGAAATGCTCTCGCAACGTGGGGCTTTAGGTAGTGATGAAAACGTCGCTAGAACTATTCCACAGCCGCAGTCAGTTTATGAGCAAAAGAGGGACGCACATTTTTTGCCTGTACACTTGGAGACATACTTCAAGTCTCCGCGTACATCGTACGGGTTAGGCAAAAGATGTGCGGCTATCTTTAAAAACTCCGGAGTGATTTGAGATTTGGGCGTAATTGTATTTGTAAACAAACAGGTCAATCGCCGATTTCTCGTGAATAAAAGCTCAATCTTATAAACAAACTATACCAAATGATAGAGGAATCATACTTCTACCTCATAGTGTTATTAGTTTTCAAAATTGAGCTTTTATTTGCGATAAATTGGCGATTGGCGTGTTTGTTTACAACTACAATTACGCCCAAATCTCAAATCACTCCGGAACTGTCGCATTAATGGCCCTTCGCTCATTTTCAACTTCTATTCAATTTTCATACTGCCGTACTCTAACGGAACTATCCACCTACCCTCTTCTAAAGATCATTATCTAGCCAATAAATTATCACACTAAAGCTTCATGTTAGCATTTCCAACCAACTCTGAAACTAAAGAAGTCATATTCACCCGAGGGAGGCGACTCTATCTAAGAAGCAGGATTTTTTTTTTGCTTTTCTGTTGTGAGATGCACTCACGCTTAATAGATAGAAACACGATTAATTATGATTTTGAAGATTTCCTGCAAAAAGGTGGAGAGCGATGCGAGTAGATGGGTTTAAATGTAAGAGATGAAAAAAGATTTATCGTGCTTTGACTATATGTTTAGTAATACACCATAGAGGTAACTCTAAGACTAGAAGGTCCCAACGAAACGTGCTCAACTTTTTGGCTCAGCTTTGGTACTCTCTTCGGTCCCAAACTAATCGATTCACCCCTTAAAACATAGGAAAATCCACGAACCCCTCATTTTATCTGTCAAACTTTCATAGCGAATCAAAACAAACATAGTGTAGTACTAGAATTTCGACTATAATGGGGTACGTTAATCGATTCACTTGGGACCAATAGACTAGTCAAGTAGTGAGCCAATTTAAAATCGTTAATTTCCACCGGTTGGTAATACTTCTGCGTGAAGTCAACAATCTACATAGTTGAAGATTGCTAATTTCAAATAACAGACTAAAGTGGTAATTTTTATACGATAGATGAGGAGATGAAAGTATAGAATTGATAGTTCCGTTAAAGTACGGCAGTGTGAAAATTGCATATAGAGAGTAAAAAGCGAGCAAGGACAACTTTAGGAAGGTACAAATCGATTTGATCATCTCTCTTTACCAGACTCTCCGGTTGGAGAGGGATGGTGAGGGGTATTCATTCAAGGTGTCAGAAGTACCGGGTTGCCGGGATGGGTATTTTACAAACAATCGCAGCTTGCTCTATGACCTGCACAATTGGCACACTTGTGACACAATAGCAGCACACTGACAAAAAAGATGACCCAAGATTGGTGTGCGGAGTGACCTACCCCTTGGGTTGATATTTAATTTGAAATTCTAGCAACCCTATGAGCATAAGAAAATCGTGTTGCTGTTATGATTCTGCGTTCTGTTCTAAAAAGTAATATCTACATATTTGCTGCAGAGAAGCAAGCATTGCGTTTATTTTTTAGATCTTTATGACTTCTGGATAGCGATAATAGTGGCAATGAAAACGTGAAGTGGGGCCTCCCTTAGCTCAGTCGGTAAAGGCACAGCTACAAAGCAAGACCATGCTGGAGGTGGCTGGGTTCGATTCCCGGTCCAGTCTAGGAATTTTTCGGGTTGAAAAATTTCGTGACTGCCCTGGGCATAGAAGCATGATTGGATTTGCCACACAATTATACCAATGCAAAAATGGTACAGGCATCGAAAGCTCTCAATTAATAACTGTGGAACTGCATATAGAACACTAAGTTGAGAGCACGCAATAAGCTAATATGCGATATGCAATAAGCTTGAAATGCGAAGAAGAAGAAGAAGAAGAAGAAGAAAACGCGAAGTGGAGGGATTCCGAAAACCTT